AAATAGATTTATTAAAAGATTTTACTTGCTTAATAAGAAGTAGTTAAAGAAAAAGTATAGCAAAGTAAATGTGGGGAAAAAAGGAAGGAAAGGGAAAATGAGAAGTTTCAAATTTCATAGGGTCTCCAGCCCTTCAAATCTAGGAATACATGTTTAGTTAGACTAAATCAGGGGTCTTCAAACTTGGCCCTTTTATGACTTGTGGACTTCAACTCCCAGAATTCCTCAGCCAGGCACGCGTGCCTGGCTGAGGAATTTTGGGAGTTGAAGTCCACAAGTCATAAAAGGGCCAAGTTTGAAGACCCCTGGACTAAGGGATCTTTTGCATAAATGTTAATGTGCTTTCCTTCCAGCCTGAGATGATAGGCAGCTATAAGTAGTCCTGGAGAAGACTCCTGCGAGTCCCTTGGACTGCAAGTCGTTCAAACCAGTCAGTCCTAGAAGAGATCAACCCCGACTGCTCTTTAGAAGGCCAGATCCTGAAGTTGAAACTCAAATACTTTGGCCACCTAATGAGAAGGAAGGACTCACTGGAGAAGAGCCTGATGCTGGGAAAGATTGAGGGCAAGAGAAGAAGGGGATGACAGAGAATGAGGTGGCTGGATGGAGTCACTGAAGCAGGAGGCGTGAACTTAAATGGACTCCAGAAGATGGTAGAGGACAGGAAGACCTGGAGGAACGTTGTCCATGGGGTCGCGATGGGTCGGACACGACTTCGCAATTAACAACAACAACAAACTTAACTTACCATGGTTTGATCAGTGACCATTCAAAGTTACAACCGTACTGAACAACAAGACTGAAAAAAAAGTGACTTGCACACTTATGACCGTTGCAGCAGCATCCCCATGGTCATGTGATCAAAATTCAGACACTGGGCAACTGATCCATATTTATGACCATTGCAGCATCCCAGGGCTGCACACCATCCCCTTTTGTAAACTTCTGTCAAGCAAAGTCAATGAGGAAGCCAGGTTCACTTAATAACGGGGTTACTAACTTAACAACTGCAGTGATTCACTTAACAACTGTGGCCAGAAAGGTCGTAAAATGGGGCAAAACTCACTGAACAAATGTCTCCCCTAGCAACAGAAATTTTGAGCTCAGCTCTGGCCATAAGCCAAGAACTCCACTGTTATGTTGTTTTCCGTGGAACTGGTGAATTCTGCCAGAAGTTGATGGAATAAAAAAAATAAAAATAAATCGCTCAGACACAGCCCTTTTTTAATCCCTAGATTTTGCCTCTGGCTCAGGGGTTCCAGGAATGTATGTTTTTTTTTAAAAAATAACAGAGAGACTAGACCAGGAAGTTGAAAAATATCCAGGAAAAAGGCAGTGGCAAACCACTTTTGCCTTGTTACCAAGGAAACTGTGGGGTTGAGTCCATCAAGGGGGTTGAACTCAACTTGAGGACATGTTTTATCTTTGCTTTGATCAGCTCTATAGCCAGTCAACCGATGTGTAAGGCATTGTGTAGAACCAGACATGACTGAGCATTATATACTGAAATGCTGAGATTCCGGCCAAAAAACATATTTTTGAGTCAGAGGAAAGGGAGTTTACTGTGGGTGGCACACATAACTTCTTGGTTAGCTGCTTTGAAGGCCCCCTCCAAGAAGAAATGAGGTGGAAAACTGCTTGTGTTTATAATAGTTATTAAGTGTTGTGAGTAAGAGTGGATTTCCTGCAGCAGGCTGGTACTTGAGGAAGCAGAATGAAAGAGCAAGGGAGGGATACGCAAACCTGAATGGGCTAAAGGCTCGTGTTCCTTGAGTAGATGGCAATGAAAACTCTGGATCTTTAAAAAGCTGCCAAAAATTAATTATTTTTCATGAGCTGAGAACTCCATTTAGCTAAAAGTGGTGCTTCAAGATTTAAGCGGGGCCAGAAGAGGAGATGGTTTGGTCAAAGGCTAAATATATATTAAAAGTCAACTCAGTGACAGCTTAATTGATTACTTCCCATATTTTTAATAGCTCTTCTGTTCCATTAATGATCACAATTTGGTGCCAGGAATCTAGGGAGGTGCTAGCCTACATTTGCCTAAATGTATACAATTTGAGGAAGTTCAGAGGTGGTTTATTCAGATGGGTAACATCTCTCTCGTAATGTGCATTTAATGGAATTCCCCATCTACTGACTCATTGGCTTGACGTGGCGACCTACCCCTACATTATGATTCAAAATCTAATTACAAATGGATGAAAAAATAGTAGATCGTTTTGCCGATAAAAGGCTTGGACTGATACATGACTATTCTTACCTGTTATCACACTTGGGTGTGTTGAAGAAATTTTTAGCCGCTGAATAATCTTTGTTTATCCTTGAAGACTCATCTGCAAGGTAGTCAGCGTTGCCAGTACACGATTTAGGCAACGGAAGAGTGGAGAGAAAAGAGCTTTGAAGAAAAGTGAGATTGTTCCAACCGATATTTTCAGGTCTCAGGAAAGAATAGATCTCACTGACCTCGGGGGGGGGGACTTTAATTCAAAGAAGGGCAGGATAGAGATGGGGTGGGGGAGGAAAGACCTAGTTTGGTATAATGAAGGCACCAGATTAAAACCAGGAGACTGTGAGTTGTAATCCCACATTAGGCGTGAAAGCCAGCTGGGTGACTCTGGGGCAATCACCAGGAGACTGTGAGTTCTAGTCCTGCCTTAGGCATGAAAACTGGTTGGGTGGGCCAATTGCCAGGAGACGGTGAATTCTAATTCCGCCTTAGGCATGAAAGCCAGCTGGGTGACTCTGGATCAGGGGTAGTCAACCTTGGCTCTTTTATGACCCGTGGACTTCAACTCCCAGAATTCCTGAGCCAGCATGGCTCAGCTTGGAAACCTCTCCCTTTCCCCTCAGCATGGCTGGCTCAGGAATTCTGGGAGTTGAAGTCCACAAGTCATAAAAGAGCCAAGGCTGACTACCCCTGTTCTAGTCCAAGCTCCTGCTCAAGCAGGAGCCCTTACAGCATTCCGGAAAAATGGCTGCCCAATCTCTTCTTAAAACCTTCCAGTGATGGAGCACCCACAACTTCTGGAGGCAAGCAGTTCCACTGCTTAATTGTTCTCACTGACAGGAAATTTCTCCTTAGTTCTAGGTTGGTTCTCTCTTTCATAAAACGTCCATCTGTTACTTCTTGTCCTGCCCTCAGATGCTTTGTAGAGTAGGTTGACTCCTTCTTCTCTGTGACATCCCTCAAATATTGGAAGACTGCTATCATGTCACCCCTAATCTTTCTCTTGGTTAGATTAGACCTACCCAATTCCCACAACCATTCATTTTATGCTTTAGCCTCCAGTCCCCTAATTATCTTTATTGCTCTTCTTTGCACCCTTTCTAGAACATCTTTTGTTCTATTGTGGTGACCAAAACTAGACACAGTATTCCACTCTTACCAATGCAGTATAAAGATTGAAAATGTTTGCAAGTGAAAACAAGCTTGCAAAAGTGTCGTTGATTGAAATGTGGTAAATTTGTAATAATTATTCTCTAGAATTATCATCATCATAATTGGCAGAAATGAAATGAAAGAGACTTAAAGCTACAGAGATAAAGTGAACAAACCTGCCATGACATAGATTTATTTATTTATCTTTCCAGCAGCTTCTTTGCTTTTTCTGCTTGGATAAACTGGAAGTTTCAGGCCGGTGTCAGAAATAATTGGAACTCCTGCCAGTTTTCTTATAATGGAGAAATGGTTGGTGAAGATGACAAGATTTGCAGAGATGGCAACATTGACTTATTTGATTAGGGAAAAGACAGTAGCCACATTTGTTAGTGATGGGAAACACTTTATGGACTTTTTGCTGAAAATGGAAAAAAAAAGAACTTGTGATTTATGGTTTTGATTATTAGAAAGGGTAGACTATGGAAAGAAGGAAGCCATGATGTAACCTTAGAGAGAGAGGATAAAATATAAATGCAGTTAAAACTTCTTCCTCCCTCCCTCCCTCCCTCCCTTCTTCCCTCCTTCCGTCCCTCTTTCTTTTTTCTGTTCTTTTATTTTTTTCCTTTCTTTTTCTTTTTTTTCTTTTCTTTATTTACTTAATACTTTCCTTTTATTTTTCTTTACTTTCTTTTTTCTTTAAATCTGAAGTATTTTTACTTGGTAAAAAAACCTTCTGTAATAAAAATGAAATAATTAAAGAAAGGAATTTGTGCCTGCCCTCTGCTGCTACGCTGATCCAGAATGAGTCACGAGTCCTGCCTAATCTTTGTCCATGGTGGATTTTATTTCCCGCAGTAACAGAACCATCAGCCAAACCAAAACTTCAAATATGATTTTAATTCTTGCTCTGCCTGGAAGAGGGTCTACATGGAACTCAATTAAGGAGGCTCCAAATCTAGTTATAGAAGTTTCTGTAGTCATAAGATTCTATAGTCATAAGATCCACAGCTGTCTCAAAATAGCTTAAATGTTTTGGCTAAGCGTGAAATCTCTTCTGTTGCTTGATTTGTTCCTTTTGGCTAAACTGAGCTGTAAACATTGATTTCGACTAATTGCTTTCTTCCATTTCTCTTCTTAAGACATGTTCCCTTTTTCTCTGGACTAATCCTTCCAGAATAATTTCATTAAACTTGATTTCAGTGGGAAGTTCTCTGTTACAGACAGGATGAGAGACCAAGGGTGGAGAACTGGGGAAGTTAGATGGTTAGAAGATCTCCCTCATCAAACTTTCATCAAAATAACGAAAAAAAATGTAGGAGAAAATTCAGGAAGAAGAGACCCCAGGGATGCTTTTACCTCCTTTTTTTATCTCCTCCTCATCCCTTCTAAAGATAAAGGTTTCCCTGTCCAGTTGTGTCCAACTCTAGGGTGTGGTGCTCATCTCCCTTTCTTGGCTGAAGACATTTTCCCTTGTCATGTGGCCAGCGTAGCTATACGCCAAAGGCACACACAACACCAAAGAGACACAGAACGCTGTTGCCTTCCCACCAAAGTGGTACCTATTAATCTACTTGCATTTTCATGCTTTCGAATTGCTATCTATACCAAATTTAGCTTTCCGTGTCAGAATACATCTCTCATTTTCAGAGAGTAGAAGGCTATGTCTTATCTAAAAAGCTTTAGGGAAGGAAATACTGTCTCATTCTTTTTTAACCCAACTCAATATCTTTTTTTAGGGGGGAGGGGCACTAGAAAATTAGTAGATAAACAATACTTTGTGAAAATACTTTCTATTGAAAAGGGGATACTGTCATCAAGAATTAAGCTCAACTGTAAATGGGGTAGGAATGGTGTAAGCAGACTGTCCGGCCAAAATTTCCTTCCCTTGGAATTCCTCAAATATGAACCCCATAGTGGATTTCCTCCAAGTGAAATTCAAGAGAGGAAATTTGACTAAAACCATCTTTCAGTGGGATTTGTTTTGCTTGCTTTGTAGCTTTCATGGACATTTGTCATTTCAAAGAATGGGTGGCCTGCAAGAGAAGGGAGGACATCTACTTAGTTTATCCATGTTTACTGAATTTCCCTAATTAATTTACTCCCCTCCTTCTCATACAGTTCTTACAACTCTATAAACAATTCTATAAACAACGAAATAAATCAGTGGAAGAAATGCAGAGTCATAGATTTTGGCTGTCCTAGGTTTTAAAGACCGCAACATATTGTACACAGATGTTTGCTTAGCTTCTGGAGTAGTTTAGAAAAGTAGAAAGCATAAACCTGAGTGTGTAGAAAGTTGCAACCTTTCTAAAAGGGTTTGGAGAACAAACCAACATAGTCTGCTAGAGCATATTAAGTGTGCATGCTTAGCTTAGGTATAATATGTAAACAGATGGCCTTGCCTTAAGACCTGAATAAAACATGGCAGTGCTCTTATCAGCTCCCCTTCAATCATGGTGGTCCTTTCCCTTGTGGAAAATTTGGTTAGTGATTCAGTGGAAGGCTTCCACTTCAAGTCCTTTTCCCCTCCCCCATTTCATGTGTCCTGGCATGGGGTCATTTTGGATTTGCTTCTTCTCCCCCTCAGATTAAAGTCAGGTTAGGAGCAGAAGCTCTAAGGCCTTCTAAGGGGGAATTCTTTAATTTCCCATCCTGTCCGTGTTCCATCCTCATATGGCACTGACAAGTGGAGGCCTTGCTGTAGGTCAAGGATTTTTTGTTCTTCTTCCATTTGTGCATTGAGCGGACCATTCTCTTGAAGATGAGGTAGAAGATCTCACACATGGTGAGGACAATGCAAAGAGCCGATGCCCCTACCATGAAGTACGTGAAAATCTTCTTCTCAGTTGGCCGAGCAATGTAGCAATCAATCGTATTGGGGCAAGGTGACAGGTCACACTTGACCAGACGTGGTAGGTCAAAACTGTCCCATATTCTGTGGAGGAGATAGAGGAAGACGATCTCAATACCCAGCTTGAAGAAGAGGGTGAGGAGGTAAGTCCACCACAGACCGCCGTGTTTCTTTCCAGTGTTGCTATACAATTTGGGGCAGTTTTCTCCATTTTTTTCCCGGTTCTTCCTTTCTCGGTCCTCACGGTAGGCCACATGCATGATGACGAGCAGAGATGGACAGGTGACAAAAATCAGCTGCAGGGCCCAGAGACGGATGTGGGAGATGGGAAAAAAATGATCGTAGCAAACATTGGTGCAACCAGGTTGCCGGTGATTGCAGTCAAAATCCTTCTGCTCATCTCCCCACACTCGCTCAGCAGCTACCACATAAACAAGTACACGNGGTAGGCCACATGCATGATGACGAGCAGAGATGGACAGGTGACAAAAATCAGCTGCAGGGCCCAGAGACGGATGTGGGAGATGGGAAAAAAATGATCGTAGCAAACATTGGTGCAACCAGGTTGCCGGTGATTGCAGTCAAAATCCTTCTGCTCATCTCCCCACACTCGCTCAGCAGCTACCACATAAACAAGTACACGGAAAACAAAGACCACAGAGAGCCAGATACGGCCAAAAGCCGTGGAGTATTTGTTCACTCCACTCAGCAGCCCCTGTAGTGTCTTCCAGTCCATGACGATAGAAGTTGGAGACCCAGCTCACGAGCACCTGCAAAGTCAACAGAAGCATATAGTTAAGGACGTTTCCTAGCATTCAAGTGTTAGGTAACCTTTTAATGCTTACAGATGCTTTCAGTCCAACATAATATCTTGAGGGCGGTAGGTAGGGATGACCACAGAAAGTAGGTGGGGCTCAAAAAAACTGGGTGGAGTAGAGTGGGAAGAAAAGGCAATTGATACTTAAAAGTTTATGTACAGGCATAAATAAATGCTCTGGTTTTTTTCCTGCCAAAATGTGGTTGAATGCTATATTCACACTGTTTGGCGTGCCAAGAATGGAGGGCGCCAGAGGGGATGCAAGTTGATCTCTCAAACTAAGATTGCACCAACATGTAGAACCTCACTTCATTTTCCTGACAGTGAGAACAATTAGTCAGTGGAACGACTTGCCTCCAGAAGTTGTGGGTGCTCCAACACTGAAGGATTTTAAGAAGAGATTGGACACCATTTGTCTGAAATGGTATAGGGTCTTGAACTAGAAGACCTTCAAGATCCCTTCCATCTTTGTTATTCTGTTATAGTCCCTTTCAAAATACTGCTTTCCAGATCTCTACCAATGGCTAGTTTTGTAAAATTCCCATCAGAATTATATAGGAATGGACCGTGGAAATCATTTCTGCATCGATAAGTCAGAAAGGAGTTGATAAGAATCTGTGCATGGCCCGTAGGCTGGGTTCACACAATATCCTAAACTCCAAATCCAGGTTTGCAAAACATACTAACAGTGTTCATATTATATACAATACCAAAACACACCATCTGAATCAGGGGTGTCAAACTCACAACGTCATGTGACGTGTCGCGACGTATCATGACTTTTTTTGCCATTGCCGGCAATAGGGTGGGCGCGGTTTTGCTATGATGCATCTGGCCCGCGGGCCAGCAGTTTGACACCCCTGATCTAAATGATGGCTTCCTATGCAGTCATAATTTACACTAGATGTTAAAATAATGATTCGTTTTCCCATAGTGGTACCCAAAGTTTCCCATAAAACTACCTCATCTCTTTTCAGCTTAACCTAAATGGTGTGTGATCCTAGCTTTCCTTAGAGAATTCATAGAACTTTATCTTGAAGTTTGAAGAACGCTTTCTCTAAACATCTGGATTCTTTCTTCTTGCTAGATGCCCCCAGTCTTGTGTTTCCTTTCTTCTTTTACCGTTCACATCCTTAACTGCTTAGAATGAAAGGATTTGATTACTTTTCTGATTGTCACCCCCCTCTTTTTTAAAAATAATATGCTCTTAACTCATTCAAAGATAACTTACTATGATCAATTCAAACAAAATACAATCAGAAAACATGAAATAGAGGGAAACTGTCCCAAACCTCTGGGCTATTTATCAATTCCTGGAGGGTGGGGTGCCTTTGCTGACTTATGGACAGTTATGATCCTTAAGTGGTTTGAAATTGGATGGGGTGCTATCCCCTTCTGCTGTTACAGTCCCATTGTTATACTACAGCATGATGTCAGAAGTAAGTCTTCATCCTGGTTCATCCAAGCCGGGAATATTATCATTATTATTACTATTAAATAAGCAACATGGTGACTGCTTTGGGAAGATGGTTACAGTTTATTGCAGAAGCAGAAAGATGGCTCTTCAGGAAAGAGCAGAGGAGAGAAGAGAGTGAGCACATGGCCAGTAGCTTTTTATACCCTCTCTAGCTTTTTGTTTGGAAGTCTTCCTGTTACTGTGGCATGAACTTTGAGGCTATTTCCTGTGTCACGTATTCTGACCTGAGCCCAGGTGTGCCTCTCTGGTATTACTTGATGGTAATGGTTAGTCATATTATGTCCCAAAAGTCATCTGCTTCCCTGGGGATGGGGCTAATGACTCTTAAGAGGTTCTTTGTCTTCTTGAGTTCCTGGCTCCAACCTTCCTGATGGTCT